AAATTAGAAACTGGAGTGGGTAACTAATAAATTGATACAACAACTAAATAAAAGGCAGTATAGGTCAGTAGTTTGTAGCTCCAAAGGAAAAAGGAAGTGATATTTGACTGACACACCCTTGCTAATGGGGGCAAAGAAAACAATGTCATACTCTCAAGTGAGTGATGTTTACAGAGAGGTTAAGATATTTACTTGCTCTTTTGGCAAGGCAGTATCTCTCATGGGAAAATAACTGAAATATGCAAAGTCAAAATATTTTGTATTATTTTAAATACAGAAGTAGGAGATGGGCGCAGTGGCACCCATCTGTAAAATGAGGACTTAGGAAGATCTGTAGTTTGGCAAGCCTTTGAGAGAGAAAGCAGCTGTGTGCTCTCAGGGCTGTTTGATACCATATGCTGTACACACACACACACACACACACACACACACACACAGAGTTAGTTAGGGTTATTGATCTATGTAGAGATCCAGCTTCCCATGACTACTGTCACATGGGTCATAATTGCCATCTTTTCCTGTTTAGTTTGGTTTCTTGTACTGTGATAAAATACTGCCCAAAGCCAATCTGGGGAGGAAAGGGCTTAATCATGGAGGGATGTCATGACAGGAACTCAAGGCAGGGCCCAAAGCAGAGGCTGTGGAGGAATGCTGCACACTGGCTGTCTCTTTACGGCTTGCTCAGTTTTCTTTTCATACAACCTGGGGCCACCTGGCCAGGAGCAGATGATCCACTGTGGGCTGGACCCTGCTGTATCAACCATTCACGGAGAAAATGACCCACAGCCCAGCCTCACAAGCCAGTCTGAAGGAGGCATTTTCTCAGTGGAAGTTCTCTTTGCTCAGATGACCCTAGCTTGCTTGTGTCAAGTGTCGGAGCCGTGACTCCAGTGGCTTGCTTTGATATTTAAATCCCGGTGGAGAGATGGCTTTTGGGAGGCCTTTACTAATGGCAGAAAACTTGCAAGTCCATCTCCTTTTGTTTGTGACAGCAGGTAGGATAGCTTGTGAGGATCACACCTCTTCCTCAGGCTCCTTGTGCAAATTAAACCATTGTTCTGAGATGTTTCTACTCTGGCTTAGAAACTACAATAAAAAGACAGGCCTACAGTTACTGCAGAAGAAGGCCGACTCTCGTGTAAACAGGAGTCAAATAAGCAACTAGATACAATGTTGTGCGATGGGAGGAGTCAGAGGACAGGAAAGAGGGGAGGAGCGAGAGAACAGGAAGGGGCGAGAAGGAGGAGGAGCTCCGGGAGAAAGCTCGAGGAGAAAGCACGAGGAGGGCAGAGCTAAAGGAGAGAGCTTAGAGGACGTGGAGCATGAACCAGCCCTAAGATTTCACAAAAAGCAAGTATAATGTGGGAAATCTAAATGTTAGGAAACAGAGGGCTGGAGGCAGAGACTTGAGACTTGCTGCTTGCACTGCTTGCTGCAGCAGCCTGCCTTTTGCTGTGGCTGTCGAGTCTTGAACTTTAAAAAAGTTTCCTGTGTGCTGTGTGTTTATTTAAATAATATTAATCCTCACTCCCAACTCAAGAACCTTTCGACTCTGCCCGACTCTGCCCGGCTGGCCCCGGCAGTCAAGATGATAAAACAAAACAAAACAAAACAAAACAAAAAACCCCAACTGACCAGCCTATTCCAAATTCTATAAGATGAACAAAGTCTTTACAAAGACCAATTAAGGCAGACCTGTGTCTCTTAGCTAATGTTTGACATGTGAGCAGATTTTGAGAAAGCCCAGGTTGGGGGCCACAAGACAGCTCATGGCTAAAGTAGTTTGTTGCCAAGCTTGATGACCTAGGCTTGAGAGACCCAACTCTTATAAATAGCCCCCTGACCGTCACACATGCACCATGGCCAGAGCACACACTCTCATGCATGCGCACACACAATATGTAAATAAGTAAATGTAAAGAGAAGTAGAAGAGAAAAGAGAAAGCCCAGGTGCCTTGCTGTTGGCTATGGGTCTTTGAGTAGCATAGCACCGCAATCCTCCCCTCTTTCATCACAATGGCTAATCCTTTTAACTTCCTGAAACCTAACACAAGCTTTGTTGACAAATCTTTGCATTTGATGTTGCCTTGGACTTAACTGCCTCTGTATTTCCTGGTACCGGCAGTCTATGTAGCTAGTTCTCATTCATTACTTTTCTTGCTGCTGTGACTAATCACCCAAGAAAAAAAGCTGCTTAAAGAAGGAAGGGTTTATTCTGGTTCATAGTTTGAAGGAGTTCAACCCACCACAGCGGACAAGTCATGGCAGCAGACCAGCTTGATCTGTAGCTCTGAGGGAGGGAGAAAGTGTTCAGCTATCTTTTTCCTTTTAGTTCACTCTGGGACCATGGGATGATGCCACTTGTATTTAGGGTCAGTTTTCCCTTCTTAGCTAAGCCTTTTTGGAAATAGCTTTAGAGACACATTCACAATGTGTAACATTAATGCTTAGTTATTTCCTAATACTGTTAAGTTGGCAATTGAAATGAACCATTATGCTGGCTTTCCTCAAAACAGTCTTATTTAAGAAATAGACATATATGCAAATGTACTCCTTATGACCAGCAAAATGGATGACCCTTAAGTAGTCTGCATTTGTCTTTGAGTGTTCACCTTTACGTTGTAAAAAAAACTTCATTGGTATTCCTTAACAGCAGCATCAGCAAACATATTGTTGCCACTATGACCAGGCAACTCATTACATTCAATATTTTAAATAATGAGCAAGCTGGTTGTGGTGCTACATACCTGTAATCTCAGCATTCATGAGACTGACACTGGAGGGTTTTAAAGTGAGTTTGAGGCTAGTATATGTGTTACACAAACAGAACCTGAATAAAAAAATAAGAAAAAAATAAGAAATAAAATAAAACCTAAGCAACAGAAATAGTAATTGTCATATTGGAGTTTGTAGAAAATTATACAATCAACAAAAACATGAAGTGATCAAGTGACATGCGGGGGGGGGGGAGGATATTAGTCCTCTGCCTGGGGGAAAATTTCACTTTTATTTAAATTTTACTAATGTTAAAAGATGAGAAATAGGGTGGGGGGCATGTGGATATGAGGGAAAAGACTGAAAGTGGTTTTCCAAAACAGGAAACCAATTAAGATGTACTGTGAATACTATGAATTTTTTTCCTTTTGCTATGTTTACTATTACGCTGCTGTGTGTGTGTGTGTGTGTGTGTGTGTGTGTGTTCGAGACATCAGAGCATGCGTGTGGAACCTAAGACAGCTTGAGCCACTCAGTTCTCTCCATGTGGGCCCGTGGAATGGAACTGAGGTCATCAGGCTTGGCAAGCAGGCGCCTTTACCCACTGAGCCACCTAAGCTCAGGTTTCTATAAGCCTGAAGTGACAGGTATAGGGAGGGAGCCACTCTGGCTGAAGAGCTTTAAATGGGTCTAGAGAGCTTCCTGGAAGTCCCAGTTGAGTGACATTTGAGACAGGATCACTGTAGCCCGGAACTCAGGGTGTAGCCCAGACTGGCTCTGAGCTCTTCGCTGTCCTGCTCACTAACTCACCCCTTGCCTCACAGGTATTTAAATGTCTTAAAGAAACAAGCATTTTCAGTCTGTGCATTTTTGCTGTTTCCTTGGCCTGGTGAGGCCGTCTCTCTCTTGTCAGGTTAATTATCTCCTTTTGGGGCTGGGGATGTGGCATGGTGCTAGCAGGAGGTAAGTGTTCATCCCAGATTTCCTCTTGAGAACTGTAATTGTCTCTGGTCCTTCATCTGAGTCCTGGTTCTGGGTCCCCAGCTCTGATCTGGTCTATTTCGTTTTTAATATCCTGTTCTAACTGCCAGTAGACCAGTGTTCTAGTTCCTGGTGGTGGTGTTTAACCCCTGTAGGCTATTCCCCAACACAGCGTGGCACTCAAGACACGTTTATGTGGCTGAGATGAAACCGAATTTGGTTGTATGGCCAAAAGTGGGACTCAGAACCCCCAAACTACAGCTCAGCTCCACAGAGCTGGCCTGTGCTCCAGGAACACCAATCGGTTTGGTTTTGGTGGCGTCTGGTGGATCTGAAATGGATCCACTCATCTTGTCTTACTGCTAGGAGAGAAATACTCCAAGTAGCTTTGGTGGGAACAGAGCCGTGGACAGTACCCTGGGCAGCCTAGGCTCCGCCAGGGCTGGATCCAACTCTTCCTGTCACTTGCTGGAATTCGATCCTTTGCCGTGTTTAGGGAGTGAACCCAGAGCTTCGCCCATGCTAGGCAAGTGCTCTCCGGCTGAAGCTGCATCTCCAGCCCGTTAGGGGCAGTCTCAATAAGCTGCCCAGGCAGCCTTTGAACTCGTGATCCTCCTGCCTCAGCCTCCTTAGTGGCCAAGCAGCCGGGATGATAGACCTGTATTCTGGCAGACCTGGCTACTGTGCGATTTGGATTTCCTGGTGCTTATCTATCACCTAGGCGTGTGTTACATTCATGCCCAAACATCACTGAAGCCCTGCATCCACAGGGCGACCGGATGGGGTGGGCATCCCCGGTGGCCAGACGTTGGAAGGAAGCCCAGTGGGTACTGGGGAGAGGCTCAGTGGGGAGGACCCCAAGGGAAGGAGCTGGTAATCCAGTCAATCCCGCGGGGGCTTGCTCAGGAGCTAGCCAACCCCTGGAGTCTGGCGTCTCCCGCGCACCCACCCGACGCCACCCCAAGCAAAAGCGAAAGAAAGCGGATCGGTCCGGCGTGGCGTGGGCGGGGAGGCGGCCTCGCGCTGGGGCTCCGCAGGACCAGGCTCCCGCTTTGTGACTTCACTGGTTTCGCAACAAGCCCGGACCGCCCTGCCCCACCCACCCGGCTGCCGGTCGGCCCTCCGGCACTCCGCCCTCTGCCTTCTGGGCGCTAGCTTCCCTCCCTCCAGCGCTGGGCCTGTCCCGGCTATCCCGGAGCCACAGTCCGGCGCACGTTAGCTGTCTCTGTCGTGGTCACCGCCTCCAGGCAGCCTGCAGCAAGTCGGTTCCTCAGCCCCGACAAGCGCAGCGCCCTCTCACCGCCATGCTGTGGTTCCTCAAGGGAATGTCCTTCGTCCCCTTCCTACTGGTGACATGGTCATCCGCAGCCTTTATCATCTCCTATGTGGTCGCAGTGCTCACTGGGCACGTCAATCCCTTTCTTCCCTACATCAGGTAAGTCAAGCTTCAGGGACCCAGGGGGGTCCATGGGACAGCGCTGATAAGAGGGAGGGAAGGCGTCCAGGCCAGGCAGAGTGGGGTGGTCTTGAGGCAAGGTGTGACAGCTGGAGGTAATCACTGACATCCTGGCATGTTTAGAGAGGTGTGAGTTATGCCTTTAAGAGAAACAGTGCGCTGAAAGCATCAGGAGCCAGGGCCCCACACAGCTGGTGGCACTTTTAGACCTGGAGTGTGGGGTAAAATCTTGAGGAGCCTTCTTTGGTGACACTGAGACAAGGGTACCACTTATAAGTAGATGGAGGCATGCGCCAAACTGCTTGCCTGCTTTTCTTCCACTTCCCAACAGCTCCTGGTCCCTCTCCCCTGCCCCCCCTCTCTCTGAGACTAGATCTCACTAAGGTTCTTGCATGAACTTTAGGCAAGCCTTGAACTCTAGTCCCACCTTCCTCTGCTTCACTAGTGCTGGGATTAAAGGGCTTCACTACCACAGTGGGGCTCACTTCTCCACAGCTAAGTTTATTTTCCATGAGAGAAAATGGAGGTTTAAACCAGTTAATGTAACATCGGTAGGGCACTGGTGTGAAGGCTACCAAAGGACAGAAAACAGCTCACACCCTGTCGCCCTGTGTCTATGGCATCACAGAGCACAAAGCCCACCAGTGTCAGGACCTGGTACCTCTAAAAGTGAGAACTCTCAAGTTGTCAAAAACTGTCACATTTCTTGTGCTGTTGTACTTACATTTTCTATTTAGTCTCCATCTTTTCCAAGGGTCACTTTATCCATGCCAGGGACAGCAGCTTCACCTTTCATGACAGGGGTAGTTGTGTCCTTTAAAGAAGACTTTAGCAGCTGGTCTCTTGTCCCTGAAAACAAACAAACAAACAAACAAACAAAAAACCTTGGCATGGTTTCTCATAACACCTCTCAGTCCCAGAGACCAGCATCTGTCTGCCTCCTTCTCTCATTTCTGAATCAAGATATACTCCCTTTGACATGTATGAAAATGAGCTGTTAGCCCTGGCTACTGTCCTGAGAAAATAATAGCTATGTGTATCCTAGATCTGAGGTTCATTCCCAGCTCCTATGTGCTATGGGTTGGCCAGGCGGTCAGCGGCGAGGCTGGAAACTTTGTGTCTGGTGCGGTTATGATTGATGTTCCCCTAAAGTGAACCTCAAATAGGAGATAATCTGAGCGGAGCAATCAGCTGAACAAGGGAAGCACTTGTGAGATACTGAAACCACAGACACTCCAAGGAAGAGGCTTACAAATTAACAAGGAAGGCTTTAAGGAATGCCGAACTATGGGACTCCACAGGATAGACCAACCCCTCAATGGCTAGGAACTATAAGCCAAAACAAACATATGATTGCCCAAGTGTGCTTGGGGGTTTGTGGTTGTTTGTCTTCCACCTTTGTAGCAGTGGAGGCACTGGACTGTCTCTAAGCCTTTGACATAAGGGCTGGACACTGGTAAAAGCTAGACATCAGTAAGTAATGTGAAACATCAGTAAGTAATGGTGAGCACCTTTGGTCCCAGCACTTGGGAGGAAGAGGCAGGCAGATCTCTGAGTTCCATGCCAGCCTGGTCTACAGAGCAAATTCCAGAACAGCCAGCCAGCCCGCTGCCCTCTGTATTTACTATTTATATAAATGAATCTTCCAATCTTCCTCTCCCCTCCATTCCCTCTTATCCATTCCTCTCTCCTCTCATCTCCTCTCCTTTCCCCTCTTTTTCTCCCCTTTCCTCTCCTCCCCTTCTGTTCCCTATCCTCTTCCCTCCCCCTCTTCCCCTCCCCTGCTCTCCTCTTTTCTGTCCTGTCCTCCCTGTACTCTCTACTTCCTCTAATCACACTGATACTTCTATGTCTGTCTTGGTTTGCTTTTGGGAGGCAGCGTCTCTTTGCGGAGCCCACATTAGCTTCATCCATGTGCCATTCCTCCTGTTGTAGCTTCCTGAGTGCTGGGATGACAGGCTGAGGCACCACTTCTAGCCTCCTCCTTCAGGCTTTTTCCTCTTTGAAACAGGCATCCCCTTGTAGCCGTGCTGGTGTCTCCCTCCTCCTCACTCAGCCACGGGTAGTGGGATCAAAACCGTCCACTCCTGAGTCTGCTTTCTTCATTGTGGTTGTTGCTTTTGGTGCTGGGGATGGGACCTCATGCCACGGGCAGCCACAGAACGATGCCCTTCTTCCTCGGTTGTAGACACATGCATACTTCCTCACGGTTATGGCACTGGCAGTCTAGACATGTCCAGTTTTTCTACCTTCTCTCAATGCTATCCTATCAAAGCCTGTCCTAATACTGCCTGGAAGGGCAGCTAAGATTTAAAATTGCATCCTACCACTCCTGGGTTCCTGTCACCTGTCTGTGTGTGACCACATGCTCCATGGCCTACAAGTGGAGACTAGAGGACAACTTGTTGGAGTCAGCTCTCCACTTAGGCTATGTGGTTTCCAGGGGTCAAACTCTGCTTCTCAGGCTTGGCAGCAAGTGCTTTTGCTCACTGAACCACCGTGGAGGCCAAGTGCTTGCAGTTTTAATATGCCCGTTTCACACATGCGGTTCACTGGCTTGTAGGTCTCCAAAATGTTTCTTCAGCTCCTACGTGGCAACCACAGCTATAGTTCAACTGCTTGAAAGGTGTCAGAGGCCAACCACAGGCATCATCCCAGTCTTTACTCACCCTGAAACCCATTGCCTTCTAGAAATATAAGATTCACAACAGCTCTGAAAGTGGGGTCACGCCTAATGATGAGTGTTGCCTAGCATCTTCAAGGAGCTCCCCCCCCTTGATTCTTAGCTCCACACAAATACATGTACAGAAAAATACTCCTCCCCCATCTGTTTACCCCAGGTCATGGTGGATCTCTGTTGGGATCCCAGTCAATGGGTGCTTGGTTGGTTCCTCATGCTGACTTCCCTTCACTGTCTGGCCATTGAGGTGGACTTGGTATTTTTAGCACATTTATGAAATGAGAGGGGAAACCACTTTTCAGGGTGACCTTAAAGTCGGCTTCCTTATCAGATAATCAGATATAACTTCTCTTTGTGACACTGTTGGTCTGTTTTTTTTTTGTGTTGTTGTTGTTGTTTTGTTTTGTTTTGTTTTTTTGGTTTTGTTTGTCTTTTGATATCAAGTCTCAAGTAGTTCATAATTCAGGTTGGCCTCAAACTGGATACATACCCAAGGATGACCTTGAATTACTGATCTTCCTGCCCCCACCTCTCAAGTGCTTGCATAATAGGCCTTGTTATTCTTTAATGTGTTCTGAGACATGGAAAGATACTCACATTCACTTAGAGAAATCATTTCAGCTGGAATTCACTGATTGTGTTTTTCAATTGATAACACTATTGGTGCAGTTTGGCGGGGGACCCATTCATACATTGCTCCTGGGAACATACATTTTAAATTTAAAAATATATTACTTTTTTACTTGAATGAGTGTTTTGCCTGTATGTATGTCTGTCTGTTCACCATGTGCATGCCTGGCCCCAGGAGGCTAGAGAGTGTCAGATGCCCTGGGACTTAGAGTGACAGGTTGTCAGCAGCCATGTGGGTGCTGAGAGTCAATCCTGGCTCCTCTGGAAGAGCAGACAGTGTTCTTAACCATTGAACCTTCTCTCCAGCCCTTGATTTTAAGTTTTATAGAGGGACTTTAGTAAAAATCTATGCAAATAATTAACACATCCTGTGATAAAACAATTTATTTATTTTTATAGGTTTGCCTGACTATGTGAAAGAAATATTTACTTGTGAAGTAGCTCACAGTGCTTCTGGCTTCTGGTTACTCAATTGGTTATTTGTGTGGTAGGGAGCAAACTCAAGCTTAGCGTGTGGGGCAAGGCCTCTTCCATGGAGCTACATATTGGTTTCAGGCGCTTGGAAACCATCTAAGTAATCATAACAGACTTGCTAAATAAATAGATTAGCCAAAGAATGGCAATGCTTCAAGCAAGAGCTGTGTGGTAGCTTTCATTTGTAGCATTGTATCCCTCCAGCTAAATCTCCAGAGTACATTATTACATTGATGAAAAGCAAGGTGCAGGACAAGCTTGCTGTTTTTAGTTAGAAAAAGGAGAAAACCAATACACACTTGTATCTGTTTGCCTCAAGATTAATAGCAGGCTGGGGGTGCTAGTGTAGTACTTAATCTCAGCACTCAAGAGGCAGAGGCAGGAGTAGTGCCGGTTTGCTCTCTCACGTTCCCCAGATTCTTGAATCAGGCACCCAGATACACCTATGTCAACCAAATTCATCCCTCGGTAGCTGTAAAGAACACCTGAGGAATAAAATAATCTGAGGCTACTGAAGTCAGTGGCTGCTCAAGAATGCTACATAAATAGCTTAGGGCTGCACACATCCTCCTGTGTAGGGCAGGACATCTCTAGATTACTTAAGATACAAAGTAAACACTACAAAAATGGTGGCTGAACACTATTGTTTAGGGGATAATGACAAGGGAATTCAGTATACATACAATTCAACATGTATTTTGGCTTCTTGCTTGGTGGAATCCGTGGATTCAATAAATACGGATATAGACATGGATGGACAGCTGCTCCACCTTTGGCCTTGTATGACGGTATCATTTCATTTGAGCTTGGATGGAATCAGAAAGAGGCTCACCCGTATGTTTTCTTGGCTAGCGCTTGCTACCACATTCATTGCATTTCCACAGCAGGTGGAAGGTTTTACTCCACATTTGCTTATCACCTAATCTGTAATCTAAGAGAACTGACAGGTTCATGAAGAGTGAGTTCCCTCCCTCTCTCCCTTCCTCCCTCCTTTTAGACAGGATATAGCTATGCAGCCCTGGTTGGCCTGGATGAATAGAGATCTGCCTGCCTCTGCCTCCTCAGTGCTTGGGATTAAAAGCATGAATCACCACGCCTAGCATGAAGACATTTTCATTGATAACATGAACCCTTTCACTTTTACTAATGATAATGTACAAGCAATACTATTGCTTATTATTTGACTATTATTATCTTTTTAGTTAGCGTACAAAGTGACAAGTTCAGTTATGGAGTATATCTCTATATACATATGTATGTATTACTCTATTTTGTGTTTGTTTGCCTCCCTCTCACAAGGCATCCCCCATTCCTTCTGTCCTCATCTTACATGTTTCATAGTCCTTCCAAATAGTCTTCTCATCTTCCATTGTCTTCTCCCCACACTTTCCAATAATACTAGTTTATAAAGTTTGTCCAGATTTTATTTGCTGCTTGGAAATTTTTCATGAAATATTCTTTAAAAAAAATATTTATTATGTATACAATATTCTGCCTGCATGTACAACTACATGCCAGAAGAGGGCACCAGATCTCATTATAGATGTTTGTGAGCCACCATGTGGTTGCTGGGAATTGAACTCAGGACTGCTGGAGGAGCAGTCAGTGCTCCTAACCTCTGAGCCATCTCTCCAGCCTTCATGAAATATTCTTGAGAAAAAAAAAAAAATTGTCTCATGTAATTAGGTGTCATCTTATCCACTGGATACCTTTCCTATTGGAAACCTCAAATCTGACAATTTTTACCTGGTAGATTTGGGAAATCATGACTGAACTCAAATATTTTGCTGATTTTTTATTTTTTGAGATAGTTTCACACCATAAGCTTAGGGTGGCCTTGAACTTGAGGCAATCCTGTCACCTCAGCCACTCATATGCTGGGAATACCAAGTGAGCAACCACGCCAAACCCACTTTTTATTGATGAATTCTGATTGTTTCTAATAGGTTTCTCTGATAAGTGAAGAACTAATGATTGTAGAGTCAGCAAAGTTGTTTTAAGTAGTTGTAGTGCTGACAACTACTTATGGTGGTGAAAAGGTAGGGAATATGAGCCTGCTGGGTATGAACCAATGCACTGTTGATGGGTTTGTGCATACAGAATCCTGGACCAAAAAAAAAAAAAAAATCAGATATAGCATGACATTGCTTGTCAAAGAGAATTTACAATTAAATTCTGTTATTTGGGAAGCTTAGAGTTCTCACCTACTTAATCTCTTCCTGGTATACATCAGAGGCACAGTGGCACTTTCCCATGGTGCACTGGGGCCAGCAGGCATCACCCCTGAACGCCATCTGTGTTGTTGTTCTTCCAACTCCATGTGCAGTGTGTTGAATTTTGGTAGTCGTATGTCAGATGTTGGATACATTTGCCCCAAGGACTTGGCAAATGCTAACAAATCAAGAACCCTCTAGAGCTGTACATTTACTGCCACATGTGTTCTCTCCACACCCTTTAATTCTGAACAATGCAGTAAATACAAAACCCTGTCTCATGCATAATTAATATTCAATAAGTAATATATATTAGGGTTTTCCCCCAGGGGCTTGTTATTTAGTCCACACTGGCCTTGAACTCATAGTTTGCCTGAGCCTCCCAAGTGCTAGGATTACAGGTGTGTGTCTACTCCAAGTCTTGACTAGTCTTTCTGAGGGTGGGGAGTCAGAATCATTCATTCAATAAACACATAAATAAATAAATGTTATTTACAGGGTGCTTAAAGTCCTGCCTGAAAGTGTTCGTTTGCTCATCTATTTATTGTCCTCCTTTCACCTGAGACCTCCCCTCACAACAGTCACACAGTCCACCAACACACCGCATCATGCCTATATGATTTGAAACAGATACACAAAAATAAAATAGTATTCGGGCTTTCAGGTCATGTTTGATGCCGTGTAGACTGTACATCAAGGCTTTTGACATATATCTTTGCCATCAATAGATGAATGCCCAAGTCTAGTTGTTTTCTCATGACTTTTCAGAATGTTTTAAATGCCCAACCACCTCCTTGAATATCATCAACCCATTACGCCATTTCCTTCCCTTTCCACGTGTACATATCTGCCCTAGTTTCTGCCCCTACCATGTGCCTGTCTAAGATGGTAGATGAGTGCCAAGCACTGTGAGCTGCCTCACTGCTGGTTGCTTTTTACCCCCTCAGGGGGAGACAGGGAGGCTTGATGTTCTCTTCAGACTTAATCATCTGCCAAATGTGCTGCCCTAGGGCTCAGGCTGTCTCGGCCATTATTCTGTTCCTGGCTTTCATCCCTTCCTTCCCCTGGGCCACTCAGCCCTACCCTACACATGGAGGCCTTCTCCAGCCCTCCTTGAGTGTAGGAAGCTGGGAAAGTGGGAATGTTTCCTCCTTATCAGGCTCTGGTACCAGGATGGAAACACAAGCAGTCAAGGGGCTTGTTACCAGCCACTCAGCCTCTTTACATCCCCTTTTAAAAGGTAAATCCTGGCAGAGCTTAGAGGTTCCTGCTTTCTGCATGTACAGGCTCCTTGTGGAATTTTCCACTCGCTTGGAAGTGTGTCTTTTCAATGGGATGGGTTTTCAACATAGATATTTCAGAGCTATTTTTAAAAGTGCAAATACCCCGAATCAGTGCAAGTTGTTTCCTGTTGGGAGCACCTTGGTCCTGATATTTTAAACTGAAAAGGTAGCTTGGGTGCAGCCTTGTATCTTATCACCTGACACTAATGAAAAGAATACAAAACATGCCCAACACTTTCTCTGACTGGGTGCCTGTGCATGCTAGGCCCTTTGATACTGAGCCATGCTCCCAGGTCTTCACCACTGCTCTCTGAGTCATCTCAGTAACTGATAGACTGCACCTAAGACTTAATTCTTTTTCTATAGGAACCTCCTTTTGTTAAGATAATTGATTAAACTAGCACTCATGTTCAACCTATGACCTAAAAGCTGCTTGCAGTTGAGGACAGCTATGAATGAGGCTTCCTTCAAGTGGGGTTTTCAAAAGTGCTTAGTAGTAATCAGTAAATTGCTCAGTTTTTGCTACTGTATTATGCATAAACCCAGACATTAAAGATCAAAGTGGTACATTTATGTGCATTTATTATAGCAATCATAGAATTTTCAAGCACTTAGAAAATTCATAGAATTTTCAGTGACTTCTATTTTTGAAATAGCCACACTCAACTCTTCATTGAGAATCAGCACTCACTGAGCTTAACGAGTGGGGTTGCTTGGCAAAGAGCCGTGCCATCTATTTTAAACATCGTCTAGCTTTTATGGGTGTTTAGAGTGTCTTCATGTATGTGTGAGCGCATGTGTACATGCAGGTGTGGGTGCTTGTGTGTGCAAATAACCTATGGAGGCTGGAGGACAAACTCTCAAATTCAGTTGCTCTCCCTCTGCTTTCAAGACAAGATCTTTGCCTTAGTCAGGGTTTTTATTACTGTGAAGAGATACCATGACAACTCTTATAAAGGAAAACATTTAATTGGGGCTGGCTTACAGTTCAGAGCTTTAGCCCGCTCTTACCACGGCGGCAAGCATGGCAGCATGCAGGCAGACACAATGCTGAGAGATCTGCACCTGATGGATCCTTAGACAGCAGGACAAAAGGGCGAGCCGCTGAGCCTCCATCGGGCTTCAGAAACCTCAAAGTCCCTGTCCAGTGACACATGTCCTTCAACAAGGCCACACCCACCTCAACAAGGCCTCACCTCCTAATAGCTCCACTTTCTCCCAGCCTGGGGCCATCTTCTTTCAGGTCACACCTTCTCTCACTGATTCAGCCAGGCTAGCTGAACAGGCAGTGAGTTCCTTAGGAGGAAGTGTGAGATTCCACACCTGGGGTTTTCACATGGGGGATGGGGATTGAGTTTAAGGCCTCATGCTTTGTGCAACAAGCACTTTACCAATAGGTCTATCTCTGTATTCCTAAATGTAAACTTTTATGGTATAAAAACCAATTTTAGGTTTCTTTAGAGCCCAAACAAAAAATACTTCAGGATGAATTTGGGTCATACTTTTGAAACTCAATGTCTGAACACCTAGAAAGATCACTATAAATGGACCAATTATCTGCCCTTGGGTTGGAACTAAGACTCATTTGAAATAATCTGATGTTTTATTTTCTTTCTCAGTGACACAGGGACAACACCACCAGAGAGTGGTATTTTTGGGTTCATGATAAACTTCTCTGCATTTCTTGGTAAGTACATAATTATTGTAAATGAGAAACTTACAATCTCAAGTGTAATAAAATGGCACTTGTAGTTTGTGTACTTAAAAAAAAAAGCACAATCTCTGTTACTAAAATTTTGCACTACTTTGAGACACTACACTGTTTTTAAAAAAAAAATCCACCATTATGTATAGCCTCATCATAGGACTATACTTAACTGGTAATCTGAGACAGACTTTTAAGAGGTACTTTTAAATCCCAAATTTCTGAAATGGAGTTAAAATTTTTGTATTATCTAATTTATGTTTTTATACCTTTAATCCCAGCACTGGGGAGGCAGAGGCAGGTGGGTCTCTGTGAATTTGAGGCCAGCCTGGTCTACAGAGAAAGTTCCAGGACAGACAGAGTTTCACAGAGAAACCCTGTCTCAATTAAAAAAAAATTATGTATGTGAGTGTTGTGTATGTGTGCGCACACACACAAACGTACACTTATTGGTGTTTTTTAAACTATTTGCATGTATAAACATGCATGTGTCAGAGCTCTTGGGGGCTAGAAGAGGGAGTCATATCTTTTAGAGTTACAAGCATTTTTGAGTCAAACAATGTGGGCACTGGAGTCTGAACTTCAGTCGTCATGAGAGAGCAATAAGCATTTTTTAAAACTTTATTTATTCTTCTCATACAGTACATCCCCACCACAGTTCTCCTTCCCTTCTCTCCTCCCAGCCCCATGTCTGTCTGTCCTGCCCCCACCCTCATCTCCTTCCCTCTTCCCCAGATCCACTGCTTTTCCATTTCCCTTCAGAAAAGAGCAGGCCTCCTCAGGGATGGCAAGCAAACACAGCATAACAAGATAACAGCCAGAAACTGGAAACAACCTAGATGCTCCTCAACTGAAGAATGGATTTAAAAAATGCGGTATATTTATGCAATGGAGTATTCTTATTCAGCTGTTAAAAAAATGACACCATGAAATTTATAGGCAAATTGATGAAACTGGAAAAACAAAAAACAAAAACCATCCTGAGGGAGATAGCCCAGATCCAGAAGCCAAACATGATATGCTCTCACTTATAAGTGGATGTTAGGCTGTTAAGAAAAGGATAGTCACGCTATGATCCACAGAGCCAGAAGCCGAGAAACAAGGCCGACTCTGGAAGGGGATGCATAAATCCCCAGGGAAGGGAAAATAGAACAGGTTTTGTAGGTGGACTCTGGGGTGGGTAGAGGTGGGAACAGAAGGGACGTTCAGAGGGACAGTACAGGGAGAGACAATGTAGTGTGTGTGTTAGGGGCAGGGATTTGTGCAGTAGAAACTTCTTGGAATCTATGAAGGTGACCCTAGTGAGGACTCCTAGTGATGGGGTTATGGAGCCTGAACTGGCCATCTTCTGTAACCAAGCAAGGCTTTGAGTGGTGGGACTGGGACAGCAACCCAGCCACAGAACCTCTGACCTGCAACAAGCATTCTTAACTGCTGAGCCATCTCTCTGGCCCTGAAATGGATTTTCAGTATAATTTAGTTTTCAAAACCTTATGTGTAGCCACGGTGCTTGTGTACCCCAGTGCATAAGGCTGTATGGCAAGATGTATCCTGAGGGCAGCTCGCCTGGGGACATCTGGGGTTAGAGACATGTTCCTGAGCTCCCCTACGGATCTACTCAATTTTAGTGAGGCTCAGTGAATACATGTTGTAAATGAACACTTGGAGCCATGCTTGATTGGCATGTGGGCAGTACTAGCTTTGATCCTTAGTGACATAAATGAAAACCAAACAGTTTAGGGGAAATTGGATGCTTTCAACAGGCTGAGAGCTGCTGGCCTGTTGTTAGGAGAAATGGAAAATGATAAAAGAGAGTAGTTTGTATCTGTCTCGGGTATGATTTTGTTCCCAGGAACTCAGAAGCACGGCGGAAACAACTGATGGAACACAATCCCCCCATGAGCCAGTGTCATCAACACTGATTTCAGTTATTTTGCTATTGATACAAAACTCTCTCCTGCCGGAGGATCTGAGGGTGCCTGTGTCAGACTCGAGGCTCCCAGCCCTTCCTTTATCCAATCAGGCCGCATTGTGTAACCAACACTCACTTCCCTCTGTTGAGTAGGTCAGGAAAACTTCTGGGAACCCACTAAGGGAGCAAGCAGCTTTAGAATACTGTTTGTGCAACTCGATAGGAAGTTTGACTTGCTCACCCATTCATGGGCTCTTCCACCTGGGCTTGGAAAAGGGAAGGAGGAAGAAACACAGGGCCAGTGGGTCCCAGTGCCTTTATAGGAATCTTTGAAACCAGACTTAGAAGAGCAAGTAATTGTTTTACTACAATCAGTGATAAGTTTAGTGTTGTTGGTTATTAATATTTATTATTGATTTATCTTTTAGTTTAACAGTGGTTATTCCTAAACCAGCTGTATACCCAAATCACCACACAGAGACTAGGATTTATTTAATTAACCTAGAGCACAATGCTGGGCAATAGTTACTCTATCCTAAACCTCCAAGCCTGCATACTTTCCTCCCATTCAGATTTCCCACATTGTACTTGCTTTTAGTCATATCTTAGGTCTGGTTCATCCCTCCTCATGATTCCAAGTCCTCCTGCCAACCTCTCTCTCCCACTCCTCCCACTCACTTCTCTCTCCTCCCCTCCAGACCAGCATGTCCCACCCTATTCTCTCCATTGCACAGCATTGGCTGGTTGTATTATTGAAAATACAGAGAACAAATGGCATGTTTACAGACACTTGAGACAGGTAATGCTTAGAATTAACATCACAATGCAATGTCTGGATTGAAACCAGCTAGAGTGGTAGAGAAATCAGCATTTGAATGAACAAGGGTGAATCGTATACATTCCGAAAGGAATATTATACCAATTGTTTATGCTTTTGCCACTAGACAAAATATATGACATGGAATATTCAAATTAAGATTAGGATAAGTATTCATTTTTAATTTTTTTTCCCTTCCAGGTAAAGTCTTACATTTACATTTGTTATGTAGCACAGATGTTGCATAGAACTTGTAATTCTCTTTTCTAGCCTTCTTAAGGCTGGGAATATAGCCAAGTGCCATCACACCTTGATAGCGTCCTTTTTATTTACCTAAGTCTTTATGGTTTACATTGTTGAGATAAGGTCTCTTCCAAGTTGCCCAGTCTGGCCATATAAATTCCACCTAACTGCAATGAGGGCTGAATGTCTTTCACATTTTAAAAAACAGTCCAGAAGAAAATTTGTAATATTTGCAGTAGATAGAATTTTGGTGTGCAAAATATGTCAATACCACTACAATCTAAACTCAGGGAGCAAATGGAAACCAGTTTATAAAAGAGGGTGAAATAAAGACAGGATCTCACAAACCATATAGAAATCTCCTAAAAATGACAGTGTAGATTTATTTTGCAGTGACTTGGAAGAATCTTCATGGTACACTGTTAAGTGAGAAAAGCAAGTCATTGAATAACACATGGAGTTCAATGGCCTATATGTGAAAAAGGCCAAGATATGATGTATGTGCATGTGTGTGCATGCATTTGTCCATTGCATAGGGTAGAGAATACTGGGAAGAACAAAATGTGCTGCAATCATGACATTTTTTTTTGTTTGTTTCTCATGCTAGAAATCAAACTCAAGGCCTTATGTTTGTTACACACTCAGCCATAATCAAGGACTTTAGAAAACAAACAAACAAACAAAACTCTCATGTGTTCTTGTATTACTCGATTTTACTAGCCTGTGCTTCTTTTTTGCAGGTGCAGCTACGATGTACACAAGATATAAAATAGTGCAGAAGCAAAATGAGACCTACTATTTCAGCACTCCTATTATTAACTTGGTGTCATTAGTTCTCGGATTGGTGGGATGTATTGGAATGGGCATTGTGGCCAATTTTCAGGTATGGCCTGAGTGTTTTGGGTGGTTGAGATTGGAAGAGTCTGCGTGAACAGAGAAGCAGGAATGCAAGAAACCAGCTTGTGTCAGGAAAGCTATGAGATCAATGGATTGGGGTTGGATTGATTTTTAAATGATTGTTAGTCTTGCCTGGGAAGTGGGAGAGGAGAGTGTGCACCTCAAATGGTGCTACAGGCTGAGCACTGCTCCCCGCTTGATCATCTTTGTTTTTAAAGAGATTTTTAACCCCCTATGAAATCTTGGCAGTCATTTTAATAGCATGCACGCACGCACACACACATATATAAGTAGTTTAGCTTAAAACCACTAATGCTGAGTTCTCCCGCCTCAGCCTCCTGAGTTCAGGAATTTGGGGCATGAAGTACCATGACTGCTTCGCAGTTCGTATTCATGTAGTCTGAAGTAAGAATTCCTTTAGCTTTGTAAACGGGTTTTCCTCAGAATGAATGCCTACGACTCTACCATTGGATAAGATCCACCTGGTACTCAAAGAGAAACACCTGATTCCTCCCTTTTGAGTGTGAAGATTTGGTTTGTGGAGGTGAAATTATTGGCTCAGATTTATTCAGTGAATTAGACCGAAGAGCCAAAATAGGGCCCCTGTTCCAGTGACCATACCTTTTTTCTGGTTTGTAGATTTCTGCTTATCCCTCCATCTTTTGCAAGAAAGCATTTGATTTGTCTATGGAGAGACTATTTAATGTCTTAGAAAAATCCATTGAACTCCTTGTTCATATTACTGAATAAGGATCAGATGAGCGAATCGGCATACAGCAGCCTACAGTCCGGACTTAGTGGCTGTCATAGTCAGATCCACTGCGATGGTCCTACACTCTTCTTACCTGTTGTCTCCATGTGAGAGCAGGATGGATTACTACAGGAGGCCTTGGGTATTGCCTAGGGGAATATTTTTAACCTTCTCCCCACCAGCAATGCTCTTGAATGATGCTGGTTTTTATACAAAGATGGTGGCTTCACCTCTAGTGGGCTGCTCTCCATCCATTCTCTAATGTCTACTGCAGCCTGGAACTGGACTGTGGTCATTGTGACCTAGGTTGACGTGCATATCACAAGCCCCCACAGATTCACCATCTCTGCCTTTATCAAGGGAGACGATAAAGCACCTTGGGAAACTCAGGGCTGTTTGCCAGCAGTTAAGGCCTATTCAGGGACTCACAGGCCAGGGATGGGTAAGGGCTCTAAGAATCATTGGATGATGAAATATGGTAGAACGGTTTACAGCTCTATCATCAGGGAGGGATGCTAAAGGGAGGGATGCTAAAAGGGGTAAGAATTATTTATCAGCATGTAAATATGAAAAGGCCCTTGTCTGATGAACAATTCCCAAAATCCACCACAGAAGGAGAAAACTGACTTCCAAAGCTGTTCTCTGATTATGTACCATGTGCAGGCACAGACACACAGACACACACACACACACACACACACACACACACTGTCTGTCTCTTACAAAAAGAACTATGAGCATACTTAGGAGGATAAGGGAGGAGGACTATGAGGTGGAAGCCAGCCTCAGCTACATAACAAGAACCTGCCTAAAAAAGTAATTAAATACATACATAAATAAAACAAGCCAGGCATGGTAGCACACACATATGATCCCTGCACAGAATTCTGGTTATTCCTGAAAGTGACTCATTAGCAGATCATGCTTTGGTTTCTATTTTGCTTTCATCCAAATACGTCTCACATCCAAGCAACGAAAGGGATTTGTTTCTCTTAGCTCTTTTAAAATATTTTTAAGATTGTGTTAAGACATATGCAATATAGAATTTTCATCTTAAACACTTTTCTTTATATCATTCAGTGATTATTTTCCTGATGTCTGTAAGTACTTAAAGGGGCATGCACATTTTAAAACATGCATGTCCCTTACTTTTCCTTTGTAACTGTATCTATATGCTCAGGTTAGAGATAGCAGTTGGTGATGTCTTGCAGAATGTGGATGCAATTGTGCCTGGTACTCAGAGTGGTTCTCCTGCCTCACCTGGCTGCTGCTCCTCTTCCTTCATCTCCTTTCGAAGATTTATTTATTTATAATGTTCTGCCTTCATGTACACCTGCATTCCAGAAGGGGGCACCAGATCTCATTATAGATGGCTGTGAGCCACCATGTGGTTGCTGGGAATTGAACTCAGGACCTCTGGGAGAGCAGCCAGTGCTCTTAACCTCTGAACCATCTCTCCAGCCCCTCACCTGGCTTCTAAATGCAGTTTTTATAGGAAATGCTATGATACGGTCTTTACTGCAATGAAGTCTCTAATTATCTTAAAGTCACAGTCTCATGGTGAAGTTAAAACTTTCCTGGACTTGCTGTGTAGACCAGGCTGGCCTCCAACTCACAGAGATCCGCCTGCCTCTGCCTTCCCGAGTGCTGGGATTACAGGCATGCACCACCACTGAGCCGGGCTGGAGTTAGAACTTCTAAGTTCCAAGTGCCGGGCTCTAGAGCCTATCCGCACAATTCTTTTCCAGTGTGGATGGTATGTTTTTCTTATCTCGTGCGCTGTAGCAAATGTGGAGAAGCCTCAACGGCTGCCCTTAATCAATAACAGGAGGCTTTTCTCAGCATGACTGGCTTGTGAAGATTCTTAACCTAGGGGTCTCGGCCCCTTTCGGGGCTGACTGACCCTTTTATGGGAGTCGCCTAAAAGCATCGGAAAACACAGCAAATGACAGTTATGAAGTAGCAACGAAAGTAACTTTATGATGGGGGGAGGTGCACAACAATGAGGAATGGTATCAAAGGGTTGCAGCATCAGGAAGGTTGAGAACCACTGGCTTAGAGCATCCCAGAGTGAGCGAATGAGTGCTGGAGGTTAGTTAGCATCCCCACCCCCGGAATAAGAACCTGCCTGTGGTCTCTGCAGGAGTTAGCTGTACCGGTCGTCCATGATGGCGGCGCCCTTCTGGCTTTCGTCTGCGGTGTGGCATACACACTCCTGCAAACCATCATCTCCTACAAATCGTGTCCCCAGTGGAACACCATGGCCACGTGCCATGTCCGGATGGCCATCTCTGCGGTTTCCTGCGCAGCTGTGGTCCCCAGTATCCTTTTCATGCGTGGATTGTAAAAGTACTCAAGGAAGGAGGAAGATTGTCCTACTTCCGGCCGGAGCAGTCGCTAGACTAGGGGCTGCTGGAGTGTGGGGGCTTGCAGTAGGGAGACAGATCCCTGAGTACGGTGTAGGTAAATGGGGGTCCATAGACAGGGAGCCAGTTGGGGTCACTGGGTGTTCTTGTATGGGACACTTCAGGGAAAAGAGACAGCCTAAGGGATGCTGAAGGAGGAGGAGGACTCAGAAAACAAGAGAGATCATACCAACAATGAGGAAATTGATTAGTAGACCTGGGGTCGCTGTTGACAGTATGACTGACAAAAACAACCTAAGGGGAAGGCTTTATTTTGGTTCAGTGTTTCTGAGACTTCAGCCCACAGTTGCTGGGGCCCGTGTGCTCAGGCAGAAGATTATGGCAATCAGAGCATGTTGGGACAGAATTTCTTCACCTCATTATGAACAGGAAAGAAGGCAAGAGATAGAGGGGAGGAAGGGAGATAGGGAAGGAAGAGAAACAGGAAGAGGTGGCGGGGGAAGGGCTCAGGGACATGATTCCCCCAGTCCTGGCCCAAGGACTGCCCTGTGTTTCCCCATACCAGTCCCCCACCCTTAGCCCCTACCCCCCAGCCCCATCTGCTTTTCCCCCCATAGGTCCCAGCTCTTAAAGTTTCTAGAATCTTCCCCAGTACTGTTGCCATTTGGGGCCAAGCTCCCAGCAGACACAATGAAGCTTTGGTGGTGGGATGGAGATATTTTATATCTGTCTTAGTTACCTTTCTGTTGCTTTGAAAAGACGCTATGATCAAGGCAATTTATAGAAGAAGGGGTTTGTTTGGGCTCACAGTTTCAGAGGGTTAGAGCCCATGACTGTCATGAGGTGGGGACTGAGGCAGCAAGCAGGCAGACAGGTTCACATGGCACTGGAGCAGTAGCTGAGCATTTGCATCTTGGTCCACAATGATGAGGCAGAGGAAGGTAACTAGGAATGGCACAGGCTTTTGAAACTTCAAAGCTCTCTCCCAGCCCCCTGAGACACACTTCTGACAAGACCATGCCACCGAATCCTTCCCAAACAGTTCCACTAACTGAGAACCAAACATTCAAATACATGAGACAAAGGGGGTCATTCTCACGCAAACCACTGTTTTAACCTTAGCCAAGATCTAGTTCAATTGACTTTATATTCTATATTTATATTCTTTATATTTATATTCTAGTTAAATTGTTCTTTATATTGAAGTGGGCCCAGGAGAAGGTTAAGGATCCAGACTGCATAGTTGAGCAAAGGATCTTTGTCACAGTGGTCCAGCAAATTTGATGTTCCCCCTTCACCCCTGTTCCTGAAGCCATTCCAAGTGTCTAAAACTTTTCAGAAGAGCAAATAAAAGTGGACTCCACTATGGAAGCATTAGATTCAAACATGCTTTGTGGGAAAAGAGTGAAGGGGGATAGAAGAAAAGCAAGGGAGTCTGTTTACTTTCCTTCGCATGGGTCAGTTTCAAAAGCCAAATGCAAATATTGAATTTTTTTGTAGTGCTTGGTTAAAGATGTCAAATATTGGCCTTGTAATTAAAGAAATAGCTTTGTAGCATCCCAAGAGTCCAGACTCCATGCCTCTGGGGACGGGGTAGTTTGACTTACCTGTACTAAGGATTTCATTTTACACTCTGTCACTTATGATCACATCAACCCAAAATACATTTAGCCTTTTTGTAGTCACTGTCTTGTTTTCAATATGAAATTCACTTCTTTTCTAATTTAGCAATGAGACAAGAAGGTAATGAGTATTCAATCATGCTTATACATTTTGATCTAAAAGAAATGAAAGTGGGGCATAGTGGCACATGCCTGTAATTCTAGCACTTGAGGCGTAGGCAGGAGGACCAGCCAGGGCTGGTGGGACTGGTGTCCTAAGAAATACCCTGTCCTTTAATCCCAGCACTCAGGAGGCAGAGGCAGGCTGAGTTCAAGGCCCGCCTGGTCTCCATCGTGAGTTCCAGGACAGCCAGAGCTAAACATGAAACCCTGTCTCAGAAAACCAAGCAAACGAAATGAATTGAAATGAAACGAAGGCAAAGCCTTTTTTCCTCCTGTGGGGTTGCCTTGTCCAGCCTTGATAGGAGGGCATCTACCTTGTCTTACTGTATGTGATTTTGTCCTGTTTGGTTGTTATCTCTTGGAGGTCTGCTCCTTTCTAAAAAGGGGCAGTGGATTTGGGGGAGGTGGAGTTAGGAGAGTGGAGGGAGGAGAAACTGTAGTTGGGTACACTGTATGAGAGAATAATCTATCTTCATTAAAAACAAAGAAATTGAAGTATTTCCTTCTCGGCCCTCCTTTCCTTCCCCCACTTCTCTCTCTCTGTTTGAGAACAGGGTCTCATTATAGGCTGGCCGGTATCCAACCTGTTTTCAGCCTGTCAAGTGCTGGGATTTCAGGTGTGTGTGATCACACCTGGCTCACTTTATTTCTTCAATGAAGTATTTAAAACAAGAAAACGTGATATGGTATTTCAAGGGTGGAAAATTCTCCATCTTATGTCAGATTGCAGGAAGAAAGAAATATAGGCCAGGTAGTGGTCATTCTCAGGAGGTATCATGCCCTTCCAAACCCTAGCTCTGTGTTTCTCTCCTAAACTAGAAATTATACCAGATTGACTAAATACGCAATTTTGCTCTTGTTTTTACTTCTCATTTTGAGATAGAGTTCTACTCTGTAGCTCAGGCTGGCCACAGACCTGTGGTAATCTTTTCTGCCTCAGTCTCCTGAGTGCTGGGATTACAGTCATGTGCTACCCAGCTGGCTTTCTCCTCCTGGTCGTGGGGAAATTTTTAATTATAAAATTTACACTCAGGGAGGAACTAAGCCTCTGAGAAATTTACTAACAGACAGCATGCCTTTGTTCTAAGGCAATTCCCTCCCCATTTCTTTGTCCTGTTAATAGTTTGAAAGATGCTCATACTTTCTCTCAAACAGAGTTCCTTAACTCTTTAGCTTGTGTTGACTATAAGATGTATAAATAAGTTGTATTTTCCTTTGCTTCCAGCTCCTGGAGGCTAAGCTCTCAATACAAAACCAGAGTCACAGTGCAAAGGGACGTTTGGCCTCAGTTTCCCACCCTAGCATTTCCATTTCTAGGAGGTTCATATTCTTAGCCAAGCCAAAGGGTCAGAGACCAAAACAGAAGCAGGTTGTATGTCTGTCCCTGCAACAAACTAACCTGAATCAATTCAGCAAGATGCCTCGTGAAAAAGTCTCTGGCCTCAAGCTTTTCTGTGGTTTCTCTGGAAAAACATTAAAGGCTCCTTGAAATGCCCATTTCTCCTTAATATTTCTGTGACATGAAATAGCCTCATTGATTCCTGAAGAAACTGAGCCACTGAATGAGGCCCAATCCTTCTGCCTTTTTTTTTTCTTTCCTTTCCTCCCTCCCTCCCTCTCTCTGAGAGGGTTTTTCTGAGTAGCCTTGGCTGTCCTAGACTCACTTTGTGAAGATGGTCTCTGTCTCAAAGATCTGCCTGCCTCTGTCTCCTGAGTGTGGGATTAAAGTTGTGTGCTGTCAACGCCTGGTTGTAAGGCCAGTCATTTCATGGCAGGTTTCTAATTTTCTCCCACTTAACTGGCCTATCTTTCCTCAACTTCTAAAGCTTTCAAAAACTTCACAGAAGCAACGCATGATGGCAGTAGTACAAACCTGACTGAAAAAGGAAGGAAGGGAGGAAGGGAAGAAAGAAATCAAAAAAGGCTAGAGAAAATAGTGGCTTGATCCTTTAATTCCAGTGCTTGAGAGGCAGAGGCAGGTGGATCTGAGTTGAAGGCCAGCCTGGTCCATAGACAGTTCCAGGACAGCTAGAGTTACATAGACACTGCTCACACTCCTTCCCCTTACCAAAAACAGACAAGCAAATAAATAAAAATAAAAAAGAAAGGGTGGAGAAGGAAGGACCTTAACAGGGCTCCTGAGGCCTATGGTCTGAGACTTCCTGTTGCCTCAGCCACATTGTGACACATGTTTTGCCTCAGGCAGGCTGTTTTCTTCTGCTTTTGCCTTATCCCAGGGGCTATCTTAGAGCTGGGTTTACTGGTCCATCACCGTAACTATGTGACTTTTTGCATACTTGAAATAATGGCTAGCCCATATTGAGGTCTTTGGTAAACGTAGAACACTTGATAAGAGAAAAGGAGTGTAGTTGAGTAAATGGCTTGCTTAGTTTCTCCTCCTTCTCCTTTGCATGTTTTTTTGTGGGAAGAGGGGAGGGAGGGAGTGGACTTACTCATTTTGTAGTCTAGGCTAGCTTCAAATTATCGATTCTCCTCTCCAAATGCTGGTTTTACTGATGTGAGGACTACACTACGCTTGCATGAATAATTCTGTATTTTATTATACATTAAAATGATATTGTCAATATGTTATTAGTATTTTAAAATTCTGTATGTGCGTGTATGTGTGTACAGGTGCCCACAGAGATCAGAAGAGACACCACACCCCCTGGAACTGTGACTTATAGGCAGTTGTTAGCTGTCACCATGCTTGCTGGGAACCAAACTCATGTCATCTGAAGGAGCTCTTTACAATGAGACATTTCTGTTTCATCACCATTCGTATTATTTGATGTATTAGGTTAAATCAGATATATGCTACCTATCAGCATATAAGATAACATCAAATGATGCGGTGTTTAGTGTTGGATTTTTTCATTTGTGTAGCCTTGGCTGTCCTGGACTCACTCTGTAGACCAGGCTGGCCTCAAACTCACAGAGATCTTTCCGCCTGCCTCTACCTCCCCAAGTGCTGGGATTACAGGTATGCACCACCATCTCCTGTCTTTTGAATTTATTATTATTAATTTCATTTATTTCTTTTAAGTTTAGTGGACTTTTTTGTTTTTGTTTTGTTTTGTTTGTTTGCTTGTTTGTTTTTGAGACAGGGTTTCTCTGTGCAGCCCTGGCTGTCCTGGAACTTCCTTTGTAGACCAGTGTGGCCAAGAACTCTCAGATCTGCCTGCCTCTACCTCCTGAGCTTTGGGATTAAAAGTGTGCACCATCACACCCGCCTCCTCCCCCTGCCCCTTTTTTTCCAAGACAGGGTTTCTCTGTGTAGCTGTGGCTATCCTAGACTCACTTTGAAGACCAGACTGGCCTTGAACTCATAGCAATCCTCCTGCCTCTGCCTCCCCAGTGCTGGGATTACAGGTGTGTGCCACTACGTTTGTAGTTTTTAAAAACATGGCTACTGGCAAGTTTAAACTTACGAATACAGTTCTTTGGGGATGGGGCTGCTTTAGAGATGTCTTCAAATTTCATAACTCAGATAAAGCTGAACTTCGTGATATACTCCCTGGCACCCCAATGTCAGGGCATACTGAATTAATGTTTTGTTTTTTCACCAGAGCCATTGCTGTTCTAACGGGACTTTAATAGTTCTGGTGCTGAGACTGTCTGTTTAGCTGATCTCCTCATGTACTCACAGCCAGCGTGGTGCCGGGCACACTGAGGAGGGGACTGAAGAGTAAATAGATGTGAGAATTAATGGGCTTTGGAATGGGTGGAGGCAGAGCTACAGTCACTAGATGGTCCAGGGATCGTCTATGCTTGCGGCTGCTTTTATTCCGAGAAAGCAAGACGTGTTAAGCTTTGCAGAATATGAAGGCAGAGGCCAGGAGTGGAGGATGTGCCTTTGCCTTCAGCAGAGAAGACTCAGCACTTCAGACTGAGTCCCCGTATTTTTAAAAACAGACTTCCTATTTTCCCATCGTTCCCCCAACCCTTACCTTTTAGTTTAACCCTGCCTGTGTGAGGCAGCAGCGCCCAGGGAAGGCAGGGCTCTCTGCGGCTGTCATCTCTCTTGGCTCTGTAATTCTTCGTCGGGAGGAAGGAGGCTCCACTTCTGTCCAAAAGTCTGTTTCTAAAAGCTAATAGTTTGAATTAGAAAATTAGCTTATTTTTTCTTTATAATTGTTATGTACTCGGGTGCTTTGCCTGCATGGATGGATGTCAGCGCAGCAGGTGCCTGCAGGGCCCACAGACACCAGAGAGGGTATTAGAGCCTTTGGAACTGGAATTATGTTGGTTATGTACAGATGTGGGTTCTGGAAATTAGAACGCAGGTCCTCTGCAAGAGCAGCCAGTGCTCTTAACTACTGAGCCACCTTTCCAGCCCTTTGATAGCTTATTTTTGTATATGTAATGAAATCCTGCCTTGAAAAGCAACAACAAAAAAACCAAAAAAAAAAAAAAAAAAAAAAAAAACCCCAAACCAAAACAACAAATAATGGCAAACCTGTCTTGGATTCCCGTGTCAGCCAGTTAGGCCAGCTTTAAGCAGCTTGCTTAAATGTCAGGTTGAACTGAATGTAGCCACAGATTAGAATTCTACCATATACCATAAAACAGTGTCTTAGTCACTGTTTTATTGCTGTGAAGAGACACCATGACAGGAATGATTCTCAAAAGCATTTAATTAGGGTCTGGCTTACAGTTTGAGGGGCTTAGCCCCATATTATTATGGCACCAGGAGCATGGTAGCAGGTAGGCATGGTGCTGGAGAAGTAACCAAGAGCTCTGTCCTGATCCATAGGCTGAAAGAGAAAAACGCTGGGCTGGCTGTGGGCTTTTGAAACCTCAAAACCCACCCTGAGTGCCAGGCTTCCTCTAACAAGGCCACACCTCCGACTCTTTCTAATACTATCAAAGAAGGCCACCCCTGTGTGACCAAGCATTCAAATCTATGAGCCTGTGGGGCCACTTTCTTCAGACCACTGCAGCACCCACAAAAGCCCTGCTAAGGAATAACTGCACTTCCTAAGGAATAACATGCTCTATCTTATTGATTTATATATTTGCTTAGTGGTCCCGGGCCCTGCACACGTCAGGCAGGTGTTGCGTACACTGGCTGGACCTTAGCTACTGTCGTGATTGAAGGTCTGAGATTATAAGATGTTCACAGAGCTGGTTGGATTGTAGAAATGTTGTGTTTAAGGATTGTGTAACAATAGAGTCATCTTAATAGTAAAGGACCTATTTTCTTCTGCTGCTTCCTTAACAATCTCTTAAAAGTGATTGCCTGTGCTTCGCTAATTTCTATAACGAAGCTGGAATGGAATCCAAAAGAAAAGGTAACTGTTTCCCCCTCAGTATATAGGTGCCGATCCCAGGTCTATGGCAGGGCGGCTGGTGAATCCTAGGAAGGGACACTGTCCTTTCTTAAGGTGGGCTGGAAAACATGGAGTCACTGTGAATTGGAATTGGCTTACTACTGCGTGTGATAATTAGCTGCAAAAGGCAGCCTGGAAGCAGGCTTAGTTATAGGTGCAACTGGCCATGGTCTGCACTTGATGAATCCAAGGCAGCTGCTGGTCTGCAGACTGGAATAAGCCCTCCAGAGCTGCTCTGGGAGGGAGGAAGCTCCGTGGTGGACACACACAGTGGGGAACATCATCAGGACAGTTGGGTAATGACAGGAAAGTGGGATTTGTTGCTGTTTCGGGTTTTCTTAAAAGTGAAAGGTCTTATTACCCTGACTTGGGTAAATTGGAATGTCTTGATTTTCAGGGAAACCCAGTCAGTTTAGGGATCCACCTTTTTCCTAGTATGTCTCAATTGACAAGATGATGCTCGGGCCACAGAATAGATGGTAGAGAGTGGTGGGGCCTTTCAAGGGGGCAAATAGAAGAATGTCTTCAACCAAAATCAAACAGAAGAGGTGTGGGCCGATGTGAGAACCAGCGCTGCGCAGGGCGGTTCTCGGGCGGCTCTCAGGACAGCAGGCTGTGGGGACAGTCAGGACAGCTCTGGGAAAGTGAATCCCCAGGGAAGCCTGGGGTTCAGCTCAAACAATGGCTGTCTTTTGCCAAATACAATACTTTGAAAGTAAGAACAACTTGGAATTGAAGTTCCGACGGCATGTTGTGGACCCACAAGAGCAACAGTCAAGTCTCCCCATGGGCCAGGGCATGTTATCCCAGAGACCAAGAGAAAGTATTCCAGAGACCAATCACCATGGGCCAGGGCATGGTATCCCAGAGACCAAGAGAAGGTATCCCAGAGACTAAGAGAAGGACATTTTTAGTTTTTTGCTTTTTTTGTTTTTTTCCCAGACAGGATTTTTCTGTGTAGCCCTGGCTGTCCTGAACTCGCTCTGTAGATCAGGCTGGCCTTGAACTCACAGAGATGTCTGCTCTGAGTGCTGGGAAAGGCCTGTAAAAAGGACATTTTTGAAAAAGGGAATAGTTGAACGTGGCAGGTGTAGCTAAGCAGTCCAGGGAGTGAGGGTCCTGAATTTAAGCAGCAATAGGTCTCTCATGTTTTTCAAAAAACAGTTCCAGTAGAAACAGTGGGTTAGAAGCTGAAGGCAGGAGGTGAGAGGAAGGGGGCATTTGCCGTGATGGGTGGGGCATGTGCAGAGTGGCTAGAGCAACAATTTTCAAAAAGTACAATTCTGACATGCAGTGGAAGCCATCAAGACAGCTACAGGGACAATGCTGAAGAAGAGGATGCTCCAGCTAGGATTTCAAAAAGTGCTTCTTTTGAATGGCTCGTCAAAGTCTGGGTAGTGGGGCGGTAGCCCCAACTAAAAGGTGTTCCTCCTCTAGCCAAGGACATGGATGCAGTCCGCAGAGGAAAGCCAGGGAAGCTGATACTTCAAGTATCAGCCACTAGGTGACAGTATTTCACCACAAATCAAAATGCGATCAAGGGCTCAGCTTGGCTCAACAAAGCAAAGGAGCAGGGTAGGGAGGATGGCTCATGCTTGTGATTCTAGGGCTCCAAAGGCTGGGGCAAAAGGAGGAGCAGCCTGGGCCACAAAGAGATCTTGGCCTTAACAAAAAGAGCACAAACATATCTAGTGTCTGGTTTTCTCTTTACTGTAGTACTTCTGCTTCTTGAATGAAGTCTACACTGAAAACCCTCGTACTGTCTGGGTACAGCAGTGGTTAGGCACCACCCTGAACTTCCATGCGGTATATTAGAACTTGCCCTGCACACTGTGTGTGGCTTGCGGGAAGGGGTGGTGGTGGTGAGAATCGTAATTCACTGTCATTCACATAGCTAAGCCTGCATTTACATTTAAAGAGGAGAAACTGGGACTCTGGTTCTGAGCTCTCTCACTATCATATTGCCCCACTTTTAAAAAATGATTTTGTTTAACACACACACACACACACACACACCATAGCACATAGGTAGAGATCGGAGGACAGAGTTGGCGCTCCACTTCCAGCACGTGGGCTCCAGTAACAGCTCGCTAGCTTCGCCTCAGTGCCGTCTGCCAGCCTTGCCCTCTACTGAATGTTTATTTTTATGCCTTCATGTATGTATACGCACCATGCACACGCCTGGTGATCTTGCTTGGAGACAGAAGAGGTTCAGGATTCCCTAGAACCGGAGTTCCAGACAGTTGTGAGCTGCCATGTGGGTGCTGGGAAACAAACCCGATCCTTGCAAGAGCAGCCACTGCTCTTAACCACTGAGCCACCTCTCTGGCCCCTTGCCCTCTGCTGTCGTAAGACATCTTCATTGTCTAGGGACGATCCACTGGACCAAAAATTAGTGGCCACTGTTCTCTGTCCCTAATTAGACAGGCCAGGTTCTCCTCAGTTGTGCCCTGGGGTAAGAACAATAGGTGAGTGTGAGCATCTATAGAGATACTATTGCAATCTCACCCAATCCTTGTGGATGGAAAGAAGGGCAGAGTGTCACGCTTAAACCAGCCTGTTCTCTTGAAATCACAGGCCTTAAGCCAAGTGTTTACAGATTGGGTATGTGAGCTGATCAGAATGAAGATGAGGGGAAAAAAATCTTTAGAGTTTAAGAGTGCTTTTAACTGAATTTACAGTATTAAAAAAGAAGCAGATGTACACACACACACACATGCACACACACACACACACACACACACACACACACAGATGCAGACAGAGATGGGAGACACACACAGACCCAGAGAGAGAGAGATACTCATGGATGCATTGTGGAAGCCTTTTTACTTCTGAAACAGCACTGACATTATTTTCCTCTTTTGTGAAAATGGAGTGGGCTGGCAGTCAGTGGTAGATCACTTTCCTAGTTTATTCAACGCCCTGGTTAAATCCCCAACACAGCAAATAAACAATAAATAAACAAATAAGTAAAGTTAAAATTAAAATCAAAAGAAGTGGAATGAATTGATGAAACACGGCTTTGATCTTGTCTATTTCAATACTACCTGTTTCACTATTTCTCACCTCCAGACACAGGTGAGGTCAAGGTCTTGATTCTGGGCATTGATTTTCTCCAAAATAGGGTCATGCAATGAGTGTCTTGCTGTGGGCATTTGCTCTGCAGCTCTATTTTCCTTACTCTGTAAAGCAGAACTCTGTGAAATTAATACCCACAAAAACAGAGATATTCAAACCTACCGGGGTGCTGGGCTGGTCTTGTGTGCATGCACATACTCATTCTGGGAGATCCCTGGGGATGCCCCCCCGGACACTTCTGTGTGCCCTTCAGCTTCGGGGTTCCCAGGGCAGGGCAACAAAACCAGACCCATTCTCACTGGGCTCCAGATTTGCATCATGGTCTCAGCTATTCTGTGGTCCTTAATCTACCTTTTGAAGTTATATAAAGACAAGTGATGGATGAGTTTGCATTGATTGGACAGCGTTTTCCTCAGGTCTGATTATCTCATATTTTTATCTCATATTTTAGGTGATTTCCTTCACCTGAGCCCCTTTAGGCTAAACTCTGTCTCTTTATTGTCACTGTTAGGATTATGTGTATCACGTAGTGAGCGCCATCTGTGAGTGGACCGTGGCCTTTGGTTTTATTTTCTATTTCCTAACATTCATCCAAGATTTCCGGGTAAGGATTTAATCAGTTCAAATGTCATATGAATTGTGATGAATAGTGAAAACAGAAAAGTTCTTACATTTTGCGAAACATTCTTTTTACTCTTGTAATGTGTTTGATGGGGAGAGGTGGGCTGGGAGCTTGTGAACTGCACATTAGTAGCATCTTTCCAAAGGGTGGGGACACGTGTTAGACACATCTCCAGCCGGTCATTTAACCGATGAAACTTTCATGTTATCTGCCATTTGATGCTCAAAGTCCAGGCTGTGTTCAGGGAAATCTCACTAGTTCCAAAAACCAGAAAATATGACTGTGTAAAAGAAACTGTTAGAAAACATTCCTCAGACCAAGGGAAGGCAAGACCTTAGCATATATGACTACATGGAGGCTCTCATCTAGAATGAATGAGTCATTGGCTAAACTGATATGCAAAGCCAAGAGAATCCATTAGAACCCAATTCAAGCGTGGCACAGTAGTGGGGTCACCTCTGAGGGGAGGCAAAGCTTCTAAGATATCATGGTTGATTCTGGAACTGTGTCACTCTTTGGTTCCCTCTCCTCCATCTCTGCAGGGAGTCACTTTAAGGATATCCACAGAAATCAATGATAACCTTTGAAAGACCGAGAATCCTGTCTCAGGGAATATCAAGTGGCACAGAGGATGGACAGGCTTGGATGTCACCCTGATTGGAACACATTTGTGGCACATCCGGGACTTGAATTTCATTAAGAATTCCTAGTAGTTGTTCTATTTACAAAGGTATGTTTTCTAGAGAATGTATAGCATTGGGGACACTGTAGCAATATTTTTATACTTTCTAAGGCACTCTTTATATGAACAGATTCATATGCAGACAAGATGAGGCATTACAGAAAATTAAGGATTATTTTTTAATAGATTCTTTAGACTTTTATGTATGAATTATTTATGAAAATACACTAAGAAAAAAATGTTAAGTTTAGGACTTTTTTCTAAAGAAGCCAAATCAGGGATAGTAATTTAAGTTTATTTTTTCTTATAAAATACAATGTATTTTTATAAAATACATTTTAATCACAAGAGAGCACTTATACAATTCAATTCATAGTGACTATATAACCTAGTGGTATAGATTTCATTAATAAGTTGACACTAAGGCACTCTAAACAAAATGCTTTTATAGTTAAGGCCTCAAAACCATTTACTATGCACATTAACCAGCAAATATGGAAGGCCTTGGTTTGAAATTTTTCTCCTCATTTGCTGAATTTTCCTTTCCCAGGGAGCTACAGCTTTTTCAGGGAACTAATTCCAAATAGGAGCTTAGCAGGACAGCTTAGAAATGATAAATAACTGCTTTTCAACTTTGACCCAGAAGTGAAACCCACTTCCAATTCCCCTGTAAGCCAGTCAAAGAGAACACAGATCCAAGACAGGGAGAAGGAGAGGGCCAGTAGACACTTGTGGGTGCAGGCACTGTTCATTTGTTCCTTTCAGTGCCTGTGGCCACTGTCCTATGGCACCACAGGGAGGGTGAGCCAGGCCCTTTCCCAAGCAAGGCTTGGAGAGACTACCTTTTCTTCAGTTCACCAACGGCGAAAGAAACACCAGCCGTTGTAGAGGAAGAAGTGAAGACCCCCAAGTTCCATGCCTAAGTCTGGGCAAGGGCAGAGCAGCCCATACAGACAGCCTTGGTGAGGGGCACCTGCACAGTGAGGGCCGTGCAGCCCCCTGGGTGTGGCTGAGTCAAGGCTGAGCCTCAGCAGCCACTTCTGCCCTGGTGTCCCGAGTCTCCTATGCGTGTGACATGGAAACTGACAACCACTTCTGAGTCCACTGTAACTTTCCACACTGCCACGGGTCCCACTGTAATCCTGGAACAAAGAGACAGTGACCGTTTGTCATTCTGAAGAGAAACAGAAGCTGGTACCTTTCCTGTGGACACTGGTTGAAGCTATGCCATTCTTTGCTTTGAGCAGGGACATTGTTGATCCTTCCCAGAATGCACATGGATCTCTTCCTTCCACTGGTGACCCGGCCCTCCCTCCTTCAGGACAGAACACGAGAGCCTTTGCCATGGTTAAACACAGTGCCTTCCAGCACACAATAGGTGCTTAATAAATACTCACTGAATATACATAAATGAATGAACAAATCAAGTAATCACTAGGGATGTTTGAGGTGCTATCTAAAGGGTTTATTTACTCTAGTTCACTAGTTATTTTGATGTCAATAGCTATTCTGTATCACCTAGTAACGTTGTCCATTTTGCTCTGTGTAGTATACAAGTTTCAATTGTTTGGGCTTCATGATTCTTCTGGACAGATACCACAGAAATTGTTACGTGGGCCAGACCTGTCTTGGCAGACTGAGAAGGCCCCAAATCACCCCAAGTCACGTTCTGCAGATCCCATGCAGCTTCTCATGTTCCCCCCATTTTGGTATTTAATTTCTACATATGTATATATCCTTGGACTTCATACCTGAGAAAGTAAAATAAACTATTTCTTTAATAGCTTGTCTTTGTTATTATAAACTGTCACCTGGGGGCCATTATGAAGTACATAATGGTCCCAGACTGGTGGATGTTTGCTGTGAGGGTGTGGCTTGGTCAGGGGAGATGACGCTGCACATACATAAAGTTGTGGCTTAAACCTCCTGTTTTCTTACATCGTGAAGGGGCTATCTGTGAGCATGATTGGCTTATTTTTGTAGATTCTCAAACTGATAATTTTTTTTAATCAGTCCAGACTCTCAGCGCTACAGGCTTCAGAAACCAATTTTTTAATTTTTATTTTTTTAATAGCAAGAGCATCGGGACTCAGGTCACAGAGCTGAACTGGTGTTAGGGACTGCAGATCAAAAGGTACCATTGAGACCCTACCTGCTGCCCTGCTTTCTTCCTGGTTGGTGTTTTCAGGCAGCCTTTCCTCTGGAGGAGTGAGGAGCCTTTTAGGAGCCTGGAAAGCTCACACTTAAAACTTCTTGCCCCTCATTGGTTAGCTCATGCCACGTGGCTGAGGAAGCCAGAGGGGTCTGCATCATCCAAAACTTCTCCTTTGGTGCTGGGTAAAGCTCTCCTCAGAAGAAAGGTTGTAAGAAATAGGCTTTAGCAGGTTAAACAAACAAACAAGAACAACAACAGCAACACCAAAACGGTAACCATAAGCCATTTTAGTAACATTTTTGCCTTTTGTAAACATTGAAGTCAAGGCTCTTATGTTTCTATCCAACCTCTATACAGTTGGCTAGGCAATTACCACATTTTTCAGACTAATACAGAGTGGCCCAGCAACCTGGGCAGAGCTGTTTCCAGCCTGGTGGCGACAGACTCCTACCCGGGACCCTGTTTTCCAGATTTCTATTCAACTGAGTCCCTTTGTTTTCCCCTTTAACACTAACAGAGGATTCCACAGAAATTGCAAATTGCATTTTATAAACCAAATTAAGTACATCAGTGCTGAACTGTTGTTTGGGTTTCCTAACATCCCTTCCATGTGGCAGTGTCCCATGTTCCCATTTTCTGCTGCTGTTGTTCACTTGGAGACATGCTGGTCTGGTGTTTGGGCCTGGAATGAGGAGAGGGGAGTGGGAGGGAGATAAGTGTTCTCCCTTCTCTCCCTCTGCCTGCTTCTGGCAAGCTGGGAAGCCCAGCTGTCTCCCCACACACATACTCTTGGTCTGGCTCGGAATGCCCCAAATTCTCAAGTCCAGAATGCCATGCATCTGCATCGCGTCGGTTGCACAAGAGAACAACCGCACTGAAGCCCCGGAGGGAAACTGCTGGCTCCCTTGGTCACCCCCAGCAGATTCATGTTCTAAAACGAAGGGCAGCAGAACCCCAAGCTCATACTGGAGATGGCAGCGACCTCCAAAGTTGTTGCTTGGAGAAGGCTTTTGGGAGACACTAGCATCTGTGTGAGGCTGAGGCCAGGGTACCCGCAGGAGCCTTCGGTGTGCTGCTCCAGCCCCACGCTGGTCCCACCTCTGTACTTTTCAGTTAGGAGTGGATTATTGCTCTCTGATTCGAATACATTTTAGATCCAGTAAGAAAAACTGAGAGGATCTAGTTCTGTAGCCCAGGCTGGCCTGAATCTAACTTTCAAGCCAAGTCCTTGAACTTGGAGCAATCCTCCTGTTTCTGTCTCCAAAATGCTAAGATTACAGGCATGAGCCACTAAACTCAAGATATGTTCCTGACATTTAAACCTGTAAGACTCCCAACTGATACAATTGAACTGGGATCCTACCAATGACACTGGGTAGGCAGAAAATAATTCCAAGTGAAGTGGGATTTAGTTGCATACATCTGCAGTCCTTTGAACATTTGCTCTTAAACATTGTGAATAATATTACTGATTTAAGCCTTACAACATCGACCCATGTATGCTCTTACTGTCCTGGACTCCCTTTGTGGACCGAACTCACAGAGACCCGCCTCTGTCTGCCTCCCTAGTGCTACCACACCCAACTGCCAGGGTATTTCTTAATCCCGTCAAACTAACAACAAACATGAAGCCTCACCATCTCCCAGGCTGGCCTTGTTGTCCTGTAGTGCTAGGATCATGGACACGCAGCATTACTCTTGTTGAGAACTGTGTTGGTAGACACCAACAATCACTTAAAATCTACCCTTTCTCCCTCCTAGACAGATGATTTATAACAACACCCCAGGGCAGTCAAAGGACATTGTGAGCCTCCTGGACCTGGGCTTGGTGCAGAATGACCCAAGGATAGAGGATCTCAGGAGATACCAGGGGGAAAGAGTTAGGGAAGCCTACTATTGAGGAACTTCAAGTTGACTGTGGGCACGAATCAATTTGTCACTTTTCCTGGGATCATGTAATGAAATCTCTAAGATATTCCTATTAGCAATGCCATTTTATATGAGTGTTTTGTCTGCTTGTATGCGTGTATGTGTGAGCATGAGTACAAGCCTGTGTATGTGTATGTGTGTGTGTGTGTGTGTGCATACCTGTTTCCCATAGAGTTCAGAAGAAGGTGTCAGAGCCCCTGTAACTAGAATTAAAGATAGTTGTGAGCCACCATGTGGGTGCTGGGAACCAAACCCAGGTCCTCTTCAAGAGCAGCCAGTGCTCTTAACCCCTGAGCCCCTGCTCCAGCTCCAGAAATGAGACAACTTGGAGAAAACGGGTGAAATGTTTTATCTGTTTGCTGTGTTAATAGGGTAGATCCCCTGGCTGGATTCTGAGTATATAAGACTGGGGCTTCAGGAGAAACAACAAAGAGATGACTCGAATGATAGGCCTGTTGTCTGTTTCTGTTCTCTAGCACCCTTGGACTTTGAGGAGTTGCTCTGAGCTGATCAGGGAGTTTGCTGGACCTAGAGTTGGGGCTTTCAGTGTCTTTCAGGCTTCAGCGGCTCCACTGGACTCTTCACTTCTAGCATCTTTGCTTTGGGGTGGCACAGCAGGAAAGATTGGGAACTCTCTGGGTTTGGGAAGAAGTGTGTGCCTTAGAATACTTTTCCTAAGGAAAAGCCATGGTGGCCCCAAAGGGAAGAGCATTTATTCCATTTCCAGGCCAGCACCCCCAAAGAAACTCTCAAATGGGGTCTCAGCTAGCACCAAACTCACTAGCTGAGGCTAGCCTTGAATTCCTGAGCATCCTCTTCCTAAATGCTGGGATTATATGTATACACCACTAGGTTCAGCTAACACACACACACACACACACACACACACACACACACACACACGAGGCCCTTAAACAAGAATTCTCCATTCTTTAGTCTCTTTAGGCCCTGGAAACTACCATTTTACTTTCTCCATCTGGAACTTGGAATCAAGTTGTCCTTACCTTTTTGTGACTGGCTTGTTTCATTTAGCGTGTTGTTGTTCTGCCTCAATATGACAGAAT